CCCCCCACCTCAACTCCCCCAACCCCAATTTCCTATATCAATAAGGCACTGAGATTGATGTAATGAGGACCAGCGCAAAAGTGACGTAAATAATCAGTTTTCCCAACTTTCCACTAGTGCATTAATTAACAAGCGTACCATTGATATATTTTACATTTGTTTACTTGTACTGGTTTGAATTCTACAATTTTCACTTATTCGTTAAATGCTTAGATCAAGGAATCATGCGTTTATTAATTGATTATATTATAATGATCATTTCTCCATCACTTACCCATTGCCTTCTCAAAGCATCTAATAGCCGAAGCAGCGTATTCTTCTAATTGAATTGTTTTGGTGCCATCTTTCATTATTTTCTTGCCTACAATTAGATCCATTTCGAGTAGCCTAGTGTTAAGAAGATTCTGCAGTGCCTTTATATTAATCCACATGCTATTAGTATTAATTATTTTGAACTGCTCGGAATAAACAACGTCTTTTGCATGTTCCTCGGAAATCTGAAACAAGACTTTATCCGCTCGAAATGAAACATACTTGAGAAAGATCAAGAAGTTTAAGAGATCCATTATAGAGTACGAGGGTTCCTTCTTTCTTATCCTCGGGCTTTCTATCGACAACTTCCATCAAGAAATCAATTCTGGTCCCTTCACTCTTCTCCTGTTCTTCTAACCAACAAAGGATCGCTGTAAATGGAACAAGTTAGGTACTTCTTAGTTGCGTCAATGACAATTTCGATTCTGTGCTACTAATCTTTAAGTGGTTGGACTGTCAAGAATAAGTCTATCTCAGTGATATTTTGACTTCACATTTATTTAGGATAACGGCTAATTTATGGATTTTAATTGAATCATTCTGTCATTTATGCAAATATATTTCAAATCATGAGAAAAATATTCTTTTTGACTTCTTTGTAATTGTATTCCTACAGACGTCTACCTAAATAGAATGAGATCGATTAATGTTCAATTGAAATAAGCAGAAGTAGTATATCAATCGAAATCATTAAGGACATTTCATTTTAACTAATTGAAACATTTTAATTAAGTATTGATTTTTGAATCACTTGCCGGGGTCTGGCGTAGCGCCGAGGTTGTCAATATCGGAGAGGAAAATCCACTTCTTCCCCTCTTCACTGTAGGTCTTCAACAAACCCGATTCATTTAAGCATCTGAAAACGTCACCGTCTCCCGGAACATACCATTTCGGGTCACGGCTACCACTTATTTGATAAGAATCGGGGATTATAAGTCCAGTCTCTTCGCTCAGTCGTGGAAACCTTTTAAAAAGCACACCAGAAATTATCCAAGAAATTAGAAATTTTCAAGCATTCCTGCTGCCTTTAAGAGTAAGTACCAATTTTATTCGGTATAAACAAATAATTAGAGTATATTTATGTATGCTAGCTGAAATTGTCAATAAATTGACAAGATTACTGACCTATTCTGTTGAAAAGTGAAAAGTTGAGTCCTTGTTTTTGGAATGGTCTTTAGAAATTCTTCTGTATCCTGGTCAGTTTTAAATGAATTCATCAAAACGAAAGGCATTTCGCAATTGTACATTGTATTAAGTTGCTATAGCATGAAAAAAGACCGGATAAATGCAGATAGCTCAATGAGTTTTATTTTATAATTTTACATGGATCTGCAACAAATAACTTCTAACTCACTTCAATCTGTTGGAGACTAATTTCAAGAAATGATTTATCATTTTTCACTTTAATCAGAGACTTGGTCCCGTCAAAATTCATCGATGTTCCAGTATTCCCGTTGAATTTAAGAATAACTAATTGTGATAGGGCCGACAAGATATTCTTTTCAACCGGCCTGCATAAATCCTCATAGTTTTTAATCTAAAACAAACAAAAAATGCAAATGTTAAAGAGGAACATGAAATTTTTTTGGGAAAAAACAGAGTATCCCCAAGTTCTCTTAACTCATGAAAGTGAATCCTTGCTAAGATATTATTTACGTCTAGTGAGAGGAATACAAAGAGTTCCCTTGGGTGATCTCTCCATCTCTTATCAACTGTGTCGGCACTCGAACACATGCCTCCCTCCGTCTCCCCCCCCCACCCCCCACCCCCCGACAGCCTAAGAGTTGACGAGACAAAGGTTGTCATCAGTCCTGTGACGCTTTAGGCAACTTCACTTCACCAGAATTTGAAAGGTGGTGAAAGCAATGTTAGAAGATGATAGCACTGACACAGTGCAAACCAAGATACAGGAAATATTTAAGTTCATTGCGTAAGACCATTTCAATTTCCTATAAAAATTATTTTCTACAATCCTTACAAAGCGGGTGTACCCGATGGACTTGTCTCCAAGTGGCTAAGATATTCATACGCAAAAAGTCTGTAAAGCGGCGGTTGACTTCCCACTTCAAACTACTTGACCCTACTGTATGTCACAGTATCACGATACTCACCTTACCCAACTCTCCACCTTTGTGTTTGTCTACCTCTCTTACACATCTAAATCACTCTTCTTCCCCCCCCCCTCGACCTTTTGCGACTTAGATGTACCTCTTCTCTGTGAAGACCGAATTAAACTATCATAAAACCTGCCATTTTACATAAATAAATCAATGTTTACAGTGCTCAAACAGCCGGTCCTCCCCAGAACTGGTTATTCCGTTTATAAGAAAAAAAATGCCAAAACTAATTAAATAGTATTTTCATAACTGGAAAGTGTAGAAGAGTACCCCTTAAATGAGCACAAGGTCACTAGTTGAATTATTCATACCCTATGTGGTCTTAATTTGTACATGCCTGTTGATCCGGATGTCCTGGCAGAAAATTTTGACTAATTTCCAAACGATAATTAATTTTTTCAATAAACAGTTTTACCAAAAGGAACAAAACATATTGAGGTATCAATGGCCTTGCAAAACCTGGTGACCATGCAGATAATAACAACAGAAACTAGACTTTCTATCATTACAAGAGTGTCGAGACAGTCCTCTGTTACACCTTAAAGAATAAATGCGTTAAGTATTAGAGCTTTGTGGTATTTAATCCGATTTTAACGTAATTTGCTTAGAAATAAATCTTTGCGAAAAAAAGGACAAATGTATTGGCCTTACGTATCGTTCATCTGGAGGCTGCACTTGAGACCAATTGATACTTTCGTTTGCATTCAAATTGATGTAACGAGCGTAGAGCGACATGAACGCTTTTTCATCTAGGCTAATTCTGGCTCGCTGATTGCGCATCCTCACTAAAGTCTCGTGAATTTTGGGCTGATTTTTGGTCCATTGATCATTAACTTGATTATTATTGGAGAAATAGTGGTGCAAGATATTGGCGCTTCTGTGGAGGTCAACCTTAACAGCCATTTTTTCACAAAGTTAAAAGCATGATATTCACGTGGAAAATCTTTGTTTAAAATAATGCTGTCTGTTCGTAAAAGTATTGACATTTTTAATTGAATTATTGAATTGCCATTATTTTTGCTTATAAATTTTCATAAACTTAAATAAACGTTTCTTATCAAGTTCTATTTCAGTTCTGTTTAATACTACGAAGTGAATAATAGAATCAAGTCATATCGAACGAACCTCATGTGCCCTAGAGAATTCTGGAAAGTGTGGTGTAAGTGCTGGAAGCCCTCAGCCAATCGGTAATCGAGCTTATGCAACACAGCATAAAATGGATTGTCTCAAAGTAAGTAATAAACCATTTAATTCTATACGTTCATTAGGCTCACCACTTTATACGCAAGCAAGATAATTTTGGTAACAGTCTGTTTAAGTCTAGGTTTAACAAAAAATGCTTTTTTCTGAAATATCTGCTTCAATACCATCTAAGGTCATTCTTCCTTTTCAGCCTTTGGAAGAAAAACATAATCTTTGAGACAAGGCTACCGTCGAAATTAGATAATAGTTTAGTGAAAACTGAATGTAACGAACTATTAATTGAAGATTGGATTTTGGAACATGATCCGCCACACCGAGTAAATATTATACGATCCGATTCCAAAGAATCAAATATGGAAAGACTTTACTCCCATTAGGAAAGCAGAACAAGACCACATTATCCTTAGATAAATGACGAGCGTGTACAATTCAATTGTCAACGCGTTTAACCATTAAATTCTTTCAAGGTTGCACCAATTTACATGAAAATTATCATCATAGAAGGCCTGGCTTCAAGTGGAACCAGCCAATCAGAGTGAAAAATAACTGATTGAACATTCGTCATAAGTTTTAATATCGTCTGACTGTAATTTTATAGACCAAGACCTTCATGAAATACCTCCAAAAAACACTGTACCAATATCTCTGAGATAGATTTTGTGAAATGCCACCAATGTAGATGGTGTATTTGAGAAGATTATAAAAAAACCAAATTGTCGAAGCCGGACTGGCTAGGAAAATAAAGTTGAAAATCGGCAACATAAGCATTTATTGAGATACCGAAGTCCAGGTGGAATGTGCTATAGCTTACCTTGTCCATCAGTTTAACAGTGCTCCACATACATTGATTGGAGATAGGGTGACTAGTTTTAGATCTAGACAACTGGTTTATTTCCACAGCTTCGTTGAGATTATAATCATATCTGAAGCTATATCTAGTTGTGAACAAACATCCTTTCTGTTGATCTCAAGATCCGCATACTCTTGGACTCACTTGAAATCAATACGGAAGGTAACGAAGAGAGAGTTGATCTCGAGTATTTTTGTTTAGATTTATGACGAATAATCTTGGAGTGAACATTTTGGTAGTCATTATTCATGACGAATCTTTGCTGTTTTGTTGATAGACGATTATGGAGTACAGGTATAGACCTGTGTGGCAACCCCCTTCACTTAGTCCAGCCTTTCAATACTGCTCACACTGATATAGCTTGAAAGAATATCGTTGAAGGAAGTTACAGCATTAGTATCGGTGAAAAATTGAAGACCCTTACACTGTTCTTCTGTTGAGGTACTGGAATTAACTCCATCACAATTAAATTTTACCATGGGACAGTTGAAGTGAGCTTTAAACAGAGGAAGGTTCAAGTCGAAACCTTCTCCATGACCAGTTCATCGAATTCATTGGATGGGAAGAATTTGGAGTAGTGTTTATGTTCGTCAGGAACCAGCTTCCTGACGAGATAACGAACCTTTCCTTCCTCATCCCATATGACATGTTTCCTCGATAACACATTTTGTGCTTATTTTGCTACGATTCAAAGAATTTGCTCTGATAAGAAACATGGATGAACTCAGAAACATTTTCAGTGGAATCTTTAACAGCTTCAGGATCCGACATTTCAACAGATGCTGATGGTTTAATAGAATAAGATGAAATAACAGAGGATGCCGGTGTAGTAGAAGAATCAACTTTTAAGAAGTTACTAATTTCCTGTCGAAAAGATTTTAATTCTATAAGTTGACTACCAAGTGTCTCAAACACTCCTGAAAAATCTACTTGAAAAACCATTGGTTGGAATATGGAGAATATAGACTCACAATTTTCGGGTATCCTAACAAAGCAAATTTGTTATTTATTTACTTATACCAGATAGCAGGCTTTATGATGGTTCTCATGGGGTGTGCGATAGACTCACCTCCACGTGGTGCTCCCTGGGCAACGTATACTCACGTGGCAAAAAAGTCTATAAACCGGCAGTTGACTTTTCACTTCAAACTATCACCACCTCACTCTATGTCATATTCGACAAATTCCGCAGTACTCACTTCACCTTTTTTCTACCTTCGTCTTTGAAACACTTTTCTGTCCCCCCCCTTCCTCTCGACGTTTTTTCCAATTTGATGTTCCTTCCCCTCTGTGATGCCTGAAGTCAATTAAAGGGCTAATGATAACCATCAAGACGCCTGCCATTTGATATAAATAAATGATAGTTCACATTAGTTGACTGCGAGCTTCAAGGGGGGGGGGGCAGAAGAGTGAGGTGAATGCTGTGGAAGTGATGGGATATGAAATACAGCGGTGTCATGGCACTCTGAAGTTACCTGTCGGTTTATAGACTTCTTTACCGTAGAGGTAAGTCTTTCGCGCACCCCACTATGCAAAGTATTATAAACACTTGCTGATAGAATCAATAAGCATATCAAATTTTAACTTTAATTTCTTAATTTCCTTTCTGGAGCCCCTGTTATGCACTCTTTAGCTACCACCCCTATCGGAAATATGTACTATGCTTATACTACGTAAATAGGAGTTTACTATGATTAAATTTTTATCCTTTCTATTTGATTCTACCCCAAAAGTACCCGCACCATAAAAAAGCACCAGTGATCATTTACGACTTTTGTATTTTTAGTTCATCACATTCTACCATTTTTACCTTCTTCCTTCTAGTGAAATTTGTTCAAGCGGGTGATAGTGACGACTCACAAATAAGAATTGAACTTATCACTCTCTAATTTCACATAGCTTCAAATTCGGAAGCAGATTCTCATAAGGTTCGTTGGTAAGATTGTTTTCACAGCGGTCAGAGCTCGATGACTTGTTGATTTAGTCTGATCTTTTGTACTAAGATTTTTAAATTCTATATAAGTTAACGAATCAAATAAAAGCGCGCTCTTGAAATAATCCTTTCATTTTGCATCCTACGGCTTCCATTTTTATGGGAGCAATTAATTTCACGGCTTCCTTTTCCATCTTCAATTCCTCGGTTGCCTTAATTAATGAGACAATGTCTAATTCGATTTAATTTTTGTTAATTGCACCTAGAGTCGAAGTGAGCTGTACTTCGCATTTCGAAGTAACAGCAAAACAACAGCATGCCAACACTCACCTTGGAAAGATAGGTGCCATCATGACGCCTTCGAGGTGAGAAAGTTGACTTCTCCCATATCCCTACATTGGTCAAGCTTAATCAGTGTGGCTGGCCATTTTGACCACTGATGCACACCAGTGACCAATGAACCCTTCGCAGACTAGAGTATATTAATCAATCATCCATTAAAAAAGGGGGAGCTGTCTCTATTTAGTTTGGCTATCGTCATTGTATCATTTGAGGAACACAACGCTGGCTTGGTTGAGGCAAAGAATCCCTTGTGATCTCGAACATTCTGGAACATGCAGAGTAATGGTGATCGCACTAGGGAGTAAATAAGGTCGCTAGTGCAGAGACCTGGACAATGTATACTCATGCGGCAAAAAAGTCTATAAACCGGCAGTTGGCCTCTGAGTTCAAACTACCATGAACCCACTGTATGTTATATTCGGCCAATTCCACAGTACGCACCTCACCTTTCATCTAAATTTGTGTCTGTCTCTTTTACATCTTTAAAACACTCTTCTGTCCCCCCCCCCATCTCGACTTTTTCGCTTTGATGTTCCTCTCCCTCTATGAAGCCTGAAGTCAACTAAAGGGCTTATGATAACTATCATAAAGCCTGCCATATGATATAATAAATGTTTCCAAGGTAGCTTAGCCAATCCAGGGTACTATGCCAAACTATGAGACCTTGACACAGAGATTTTTGAACATCGGTCAATCAGTGCACATCTTGCACATCACGGCATTTTAACAAGTAATCTCAAGAACCATGAACTGGTTAATATTACTGTATATAATCTAGCATATTATAAAATTTAAATTTAATCTACAACTAAATATTAAATTCAGTGCATGATTTCTGTTTAAATATTATTTAAAAATTCGGGCATCTTGAGTTACCAATTTACGAATGAAAATGTTTCAAAATGAATATGGTAAAAGATGTACTTTATAACCGAAAGTTAAGTATATGGGCATGGGGATGCAACAAGAAAAGCACTATTCTTTAATTTGTGAGCCATGGTTCGTAAACTCTATTGCCATATAACATGGTCACTAGCAGCCCAAACAAATTCCGGACATTGAAAAGAACCAAAGAAGGTAGCTGCAAGAATGCCTCGGCCTTCTTAACGCACTCTGAGGCTCGTGACAAATCACCTAGAGTACAATTTTCCTTCAACAATATCCCCTTCAACATCGGAATTTGTTCATCTAGCAGTAATTTGTAAGATTCCTTGGCCCGTTCTGATTTACATTCTGGGCAACAATCGCTACTCTCATCAAAAATGCAAGAACAATCTGGGCACTTGAGCCTCTCTGATTGCTGGAATAGTTCATCCCAGTTGTTACTACAGGCCTCGCATTTACATTTGAAAAAGTAGTCCTTTTGAAAGTAGTCCTGTCGTTCCTTGGGAGTGCTGTCGTATATTAGAGGCCCATAGGATATAGAAATTTCGCTTCCAGCTGAAAGTGATTGCAAAGAGTAGACAAGCAGGGTACCTTTATCCACCCAAGAAACTGCAGCTGTTGGCACACATGAGTGATTTATTAGGGAGATTGTTGGGTAAATGCAAATGCCAAATGATTTTGGATTTTTTGACAAGCGAAAGAAGTGCTCCGAAAATTCGAATGAATTTACACTGATCATCTGAATGTGGAAGAGCATACAAGCGGCAAGCCAGCTTGCTGGAATTTTCCACGGACGGTTTGAAGGTGATGGGTCTTGGAAGAAAAGAGCCGTCTCATCAAACCATGTCATTGGATAACCGCCAAGCTGAAAATGACATAAAAAAATATATCTATTGCGTCTGAACCAAATATACTATACATGTGTAGTACTAGAGTAGATAACTTCAAAAATGTCCAAATTAAAGGGGTGGCAATTGTACGTTTGCAATTCTTTCAAGACCCCCATTGATCTGATTTTAAAATTCAATCCGTTATACTCACCTGCCTTTTATTTCACTAGATGCAAAGTGGCCACAACGTTTGTCAAGGTCATATCTGTGGTATCTGATATTTCCTTCTGATAAAATGGAACAAATAACAAGACCACTTCTCTGTCGATGGAAGCTTCGTCCATCAAACCTGTCCTGATCTAATCTCAACCTGTGAAGTTAAGGCTTGATTAATCTACTACGAGTGGTAAGTTAGGGGGTAATTGGTGGATCTTTTCCTGATTTAAAATGGTTAGATCAAGTTCGAAACTTGGTGAATAAAATTTATTCTTAATCTGCAAGGAAGACTAAAGCTGCCATTTATTTGTTAATTAACTCAGGAGAGTTACATATTTTTTTAAATATGCAAAATCGTAGGATTATGACAAAAAATAGTTTTACTCCCCCCCCCCTTCCTTCTCCTAATTTTAATTGAATTCTAATCCCTTTCCCTTCACGTACGTTCTTCACCATTTCCCTCTTTTTCTCGCATTAACATCAACTCACCATAATTATGCGAACTGGCCGTAATTACCTGGAGTGGGACAAATTTGATTTTTTGACAGAGTTCTTTAAGTGACTCAAGCGCCAATCAACCTATGCGGAAAGAAATCCCCTTTGGTCATTCAGTGCACTATCGGCTTGAACGTACACTGGTCTATGCAATTTGACTGCATCTTACAAAAAAGGGCCTTTAAACACCATAGATAATCGACAGATTTACGGTCTCTCAAAACAGCAATTGACGTATCAGACTTGATGAAGTCACGAGATTGTCGTGGAGGCTTAGTCGTCATTTATAGACTTTCATACCCATTTCCAAATTATGCATAACTTTCTTCCTCATCCCCACACATCATAATTCATTTACCACGTCTTTCAGCCCGTAACTATGACTGCATAGTCCATGAAAGCCACCGAGGAGAGCATTTGCATATGATTAAAGGGCAATGTCAAGGCCTATGACATGTCATTTGACATCTAAAATGTCCTCACTATCCACAGGGTAAATTGAAGAGAGATTTGGCACAATACTTTTTAACAAACATTTTCGGAATAAATGACTTCAAAACTCGTGATTTGAGATTACCCTTCGTCCCCAGTTGCCCGAAAATTCGCACTTTTAGACAAATGAAATTTCAATAAGAAGTTAACTTTATGAACTCACATGTAGACAGTAGGTAAGAAACACCGCTATGACTGTTTGCGCCCAAAGATCTTCATCTCTGCGAGCGTCAGAACAAGTAGACAACCAAGCGATCGAAGAGTAGTCAAAAGTATCATAAAACATTAGCGGCTTATCTCGCACCTTCTTTGAGCCAACGAATGCCTGGTGACCACTCCCACACTTGAGGTAATAGGTATATCTACATGTAGGTAAAGCTCTCAAGAAAAAAACACCGTGCTTTCGTCTTCTTACCTCATACTGAGCCTTGGAACAAATGTAGTCTAGAAGACAATTTGGAGGCACCTTAGAAAGACTACTGAAAGCAGCATGAATGGAATCGACTCCGGTATTCCATTTGTTGCAACTGTTTAAGCAAGTGTATGGTCTTAGTCCATGGCAGTCGAAGAAGTGGCAATTGCCTTCCTCTACTCCATATCTTCTTTTCTTTGCTTTCCGTCTGCATTCATGGCTGCAAAAGCCAACCTAAAGTGGAAATTTTATCAATAAAATACGGAAAAGATGGTCTCTTGTTTAAATTTCAACTTTTACTTACATGGGGGCAGTTAGCACAAGGTATGAGATTGTGGCATCTTTTGAAGCAGAAATAACAGTAGCATGTTTGGCGAGTTACAAGACTTACTGTGAAAGGTTTCTCGACCATTATTAAATCACCTGAAAGGCAAAAAAGGACATAACGCACTACTTGTCTCATGTATTACTCGTTTCATGTTAACAAAGGGTACCGGGTGATACGTCTTGCGTCAACTCCAAAGTCCAACCACTTGAAGGTCCAGCTTTCTTCAGACGCAATAAGCCATTTGGTGATGAAGTAAAGTGAGATTCATGCTTAGAATTGTCTCTATTCCTGTCACTGTCCTCTTCGTTTTCAATTAATTTTGTTGTAGGTGGTTCAGGTCGAATGCACTTCCAGAATAGCTTAGAGTCTTTACCTTTCTTACCCGGGACAATCTTTAATTCTTGGAGTCTTCTTATGCCTTCAATATCATAATTCTTATCAAAATTGGCTAATGCAAGGTGGTAATGATCTAGAGCCAGCGAAAACTTCTCTTCTGCCGCATAACTTTTCACTAGAGCGAAATGGACAAGTCCCACTAAATACTCTGGGCACGGGAGCTAAGCGCAAAGAAGATAATTAGATTAATCCATTTACTGTTAGTCGAGCTATTATATTTAAATATAAGTTAATCTTTAGCCATCTTGATATGCCACCGTTCCTTTCCATGTCATCCAACTTGAACTTGAAACATATTAATTAGTTCAAATCAATTATCTAATCAACTAGAATGGTAGATAAAGTCTCTGAACACGCCAAGGTTAGAAACAGTTTTATCTGTTTTCTCATTTTTTCTTTAGCTTGAAGGATGAGCATAGCGTAGTCAATGTGAGCACGTTCTCTTCTTCGTTCTCTTTACCGTCGTGCGATAATACATTGTACAGTCAATTTTTCAAGTGGTCATTGGATGACTAGGCGATCACCTTAAAGCAGGGTCATTTCTTTAAATGTGTGTGTGTGTGTGTGTGTGTGTGTGTGTGCCTAAAAAATATATCTGCTTTTTTGCACGCCATTCTTTCAATAAGAATGGATAAATGCAATTCTGCCATTTGCTGTT